AGCTTTGTGACCCAGAGCAACTAATCGGAATTCATATCTTATCTGACCACAAAAAATGAATCTGGTTGCCAAATACGCCTGTAACAGTGTATTAAAAAGTAACCCTTTCCTGCTGTACATTCTCCGGCTGCTGCGGATTAGCAGTTAAGAAAAAGGAGTTAAATTCCTGTTTTCTCAAGTGACGGCAACATAAACATGTCATTGTAATGCATCCAAATCATCTTTGCCGAGGTCTTAGATCCCATCTCATTGGCCGCTCCCAGCAAGAACGTCAAACTCAGCCTCAGCAAGCGGCCAATAGAAGGAGCCAGTGAGGCACGTAGATGCCAGTAGGGATGGTGGGGGATGGAAGGGGGGGGACTAGTAAAGCGAAGTTGGGACATTTCTACATATATATTCCTTATAATTGCGGCCGGGTCCCAAACATGACTTGGATACATTGTAAACCTTCCCTTGGAAAAGAATATTGGTCAATAGAATTCCATGGTTCTGACAGGTTCTCTTTGGGACACACAGAGACATTTGCAGGGTGCTGCAGTAGTGAATGGCGCCTGCAATGCTTTAGTCGGCCTGCAGGGGGCTCTCTTGTAGACATTCGCCGCGGTACAAGTCATAAGGGGGTCTCCATCTTCCCGGCGCGGAAATGAGATGTAATGATTCCACGCAGAGCAGAACGCGGTCTGAATGCCCTCCGAGCCTTGACCAGCAGAACCCGTATACCCAGCTTTAGGAATTCCTGTGTTTTGGGTGGAGTCCCGCTTTAATGCCGGGAAGCCTCATTCATTGGTTCCCCTTTGCCGGAGTCACAAATACATAACATGCTGATTATAAAACCCGAACAGAAAACGTCAGTGCAGAGAATGTGTTTCTATCCTGAAACACGGCAAAACATTCAAGAACTGTTGGGAGGCGTCGCTGTAACGGACGGCGGCCCCTCCCGAGTATATGTGACGGCCCCTCCCGGGTATATGTGACGGCCCCTCCCGGGTATATGTGACGGCGGTCCCTCTTTGCGGTAATACAAAAGGATCGGTTAAAGGGGACGTCCAGTCTACGGAAGAGTCCCATTGTATGCGCTTGCCTTGTGCCGCTGAACTTAATGGAACATTTGACAAATTTCCCGTCCCCCCTCCCTCCTTGCACGTCATAGCCTTCTCCTCTTCTGGGAGTGTCTAATTACTGTCTGTGCTGGCCCAGCTTCTCCATCCCTCCCTACATCACCTTTTATGTAGCTCTCGGGGGGAGGAGCAAAGGGGGATACTATACAGCAAGGGTGGGCCAACTCCAACACTCCAGCTGCGGTGCAACTACAAATCCCATGAGGCATTGCAAGACTCTGACAGCCCCAGACATGACTTCCAGGGGCAGATGCATGATGGGAGCTATGGTTCCACCGCAGCTGAAGGGGCTGGAGTTTGCCCACCGCTGCCATAGAGGGTCACCTGTGTCTGCCGGGGCTGCTGACATCACATCCAAGATGGCGGCACCCAGAAGCAGTCTTAGGGATTTTGGACGTCCACATGAGGGAGGCATTCATCAAATACATGAAATGTTCCGGAGGATGGCTGCTGGACTGAATGACAGGATGTCGCTCTGGTGACGGGATGTCGCTCTGGTGACGGGATGTCGCTCTGGTGACGGGATGTCGCTCTGGTGACGGGATGTCGCTCTGGTGACTGGATGTCGCTCTGGTGACGGGATGTCGCTCTGGTGACATTTTCTCTTTAACTGATGAGGCCTCACGCCAATGGGCGCACGTGAAGGTGGGTACAACGAGCATCCGCTGGTGTGTGTGTGGTGCTGCAAAGCGTCATTTAACTCTGTGTGTGGCACAGTTAGGGGGTCGCCACCTTTTCTTCCATTGAAACCGGAACATTCCAGCGACACGCGGACATTTTTGGGGGGGAGTTGCGGCTTATTCATATGTAAATATCACAGCTGAGACTATTTTCAGTGGGGGGGCGGT